CCTGCCGTTACCAGCAGTGTTTTCTGAGACAAACTTCCAGCCCTAGCCTTTAGATAAAAGTGAACACCTTTAGCTCCTTGTCAGGCTTCTTTATTATTATTATTATTTTTTATTATTACTGTTATCCTTTCCTCCCAGATCTTATGTCCAGCTTCGGATGGTTCTGCAGCACAAGCAGTATGGGGCCAGCCCGCAGCTCCTGCCGCACCGAAGAGTCTCCCCTGGGCTTGGTGCTGAGCAGGGGAGGCATGAGAGGGGCTGGCAGTGGGAAGGGGCTGGCTGCTTCGGGCACAGGTTCAGCTCAGGGTGGTGCCCAGCCCTTTTTCACACACCCAGCAGAATGGCGCTGGGAACAGAGCCACTTTTTGAACGGTGAGAGGAGGGTCTGCGGTGTTGTCCACAGAAACAGAGGCAAACTGTCCGGCCTGGAGGGAGAGAGGACACAGGGCTGGGACACCTTCTCTGGGCACTGGGCACAGCCTGGCAGAGCAAAGGAGAGAGTCAGGGTGGTGCCCAGCCCTTTTTCACACACCCAGCAGAATGGCGCTGGGAACAGAGCCACTTTTTGAACGGTGAGAGGAGGGTCTGCGGTGTTGTCCACAGAAACAGAGGCAAACTGTCCGGCCTGGAGGGAGAGAGGACACAGGGCTGGGACACCTTCTCTGGGCACTGGGCACAGCCTGGCAGAGCAAAGGAGAGAGCTCTGCCCTGTGCGCAGCACCCCGGGAGCCGGAAGGGCTGCTCCTCCCTCTTCCTTCTGGGAAAAGGATAACACAGAGGCTGGTAAGGCAGCCCAGCCATGGTGTGTCCTCTAATGTCCCAGCAGAGCTCAGCCCTGAGTGTCCTTTGGGCTCAGAGCTGGGCTGAGAAAGCCTCGACTCCCAGCCCACGGAAAGCACCTTCCTGCCCAGCACAGTCCTGCGGGGAGCTGGCACCACTAACCTGCAGGTAAAGGAGTGCCGTGGCGGAGGGTGGTGCTGGGGACAGTGGGTCCCTCCTGGAGGACACTGGAGGCCTCCCTCCCTGCTTGGCTCAGGGCCCCCCTCCCCTCGTGGCTTTGCCTTGCTGTACCGGCAGCGGGCCTGCACACAGCCCGTCCCCCCGCATGGCTGCCCATTTCTCCGCTGTTTTCTGCGCACTGGGACAGGTCAGAGGGTGGGAGCCATCCTGCACCTCCCCGGCAGAGCCGTGGCTGGGTGTCTGAGGGCTCACCGATGTGCAGCGTGGCCATGAAGGTGTAGTACCCCGCAACGGGGGCCGTGTACTGCCCCGTGGTCAGGTTCAGCTCCAAGCCACGGTAGAACATCCGCTCACTCTGCGGCTGGGCACGGGGAAAGGCTGAGGTCAGAGGATGAGCCCCCGCACCAGGGCGTGTGGCCCCAGGGCAGGACGGGGTGCCAGGCTGGGCACGCACGATGGAGTCGAGCCACAGCATCTCCTGCGCTCTCTGCTCCACGGAGACGTTCTCGCGTGTCCCACGGCAGTGGAAGGCTGCTTCCACCAGAGGCTGGGGCCTGACCTGTGGGTTGCCTTCAGCGTGTTCCTCCTCTTCCTCGCCCCCTTCCCAGGCCTTACTGTGCATCTTCACCTGCTCCTGCGCTGTGACTCACCCAAAAACCCAGCCAGGGCGTGGCTGGAGGAACCGCGGCTTTTCCCAGCCCCGGGCAGGGACGGTGCCTGGCTGTGCCCAGCCCCACGCCGCCGGGTCCTCACTGAGGAGCCACGG